AAAGCCTTCTGGAGGCCTCCTGGGCGTACTCTGGGGGCCTCTGGGGGCTTCCTCGGGTCACCGTGCCTCCAACCGCCGTCTCCCTGAACGACCGAATCACGTTTTGGAATTCTTCGGAGGGTGTCTTTGGGCCATCTTGGGCCGCCATGGGGCTCTCTGAGGGCCATCTTGGACCCGTGTTGTGCCGTTTTGGGGCTCTCTTGGACTGCTTGGAAGCCCTTTCGGATCGTTGTGGAGCGATTTGGGAGCCTCCCAGGCGGCTTCGGACGCTCGGAAGACCGCCGTCTTGGAGCGTCGGGAAGCCGAAAAGAGGAGAACCCCAAAATTCGCCAAAAACCCACAGAAAATCCATGATTTTTGCCTCGGGGGGGGCCTTCTTGGAAGTGCTCTTGGAGGACTCTTTGGGGACGTCCTGGAGGCCTCTTGGGCCATCTTGAGGTCACGTCGGTCACTCTTGGAGCGCTCTTGTGCTGTCTTGGGGGTCTCTGGGACGTCTCCGATGACCCCCCTGACCGCCCTAAGTGTGCTGGGAAGGCTTGGCAAAACGCCTTGCGATGCCCAATGGCCGCTTCGAGGCCCGTCCGGAGGGCCCCAAAGCCCCAGGTCCCGGGAGTCCGGTTTTTGGGGGGGGGGTGACGGGTTTTCCCCCCGCCCGGGCTTACAAAAATATAGGAAGAGGAATACTTGTGTATATAAATGTATATGCACGACGTTGACATTATCCTGACGAAGAGCCTCACCCTCAGGCGGCCACACGTGGAACTCTATACGGGACACGATGTGCGTTAGAGATGTGCCGAGATGAGCGAGGCCGCGCCATAAGAGCACCTCCACTGGGGCCACAGGTGGAGCTCTCTCTGTGAGGAGCACGGTTCGGGTGAGGGGTGAGCCGAACTGGGCGCGGGGCGCGGGGAGGAGGAGGAGGATGAGGATGAGGAGGAGGGGGAGGCGGAGGAGGAGGAGGAGGAGGAGGAGGAGGAGGAGGAGGAGGAGGAGAAGTGGGAGGAGGAGGAGGAGGAGGAGGAGGAGGGAGGAGGAGGAGGAGGAGAGGAGGAGGAGTAGGAGGAGGAGCAGGAGGGGGTGGAGGAGGAGTCCCCCCCCTATGGGCCACGATCCCCGAGAGGGGCGCGCCGACAGGGGCGCGGGGACACCGTGTGGACACCTCCGCGGGGGTCGCAAGCGGAGCTTACTTTTGGGGGCAGGGTCTGCTCGAGAGGCGCGCCGAACTGGGCACAGGGGACTCCATGTGAGCACACCCACTGGGGGTACAGTCGGGGCGTTGACCTAAGGAACCCTAAATAAGGAACGAGGCCCCTTTTGTCCAGAAGTTGAGCTTCGATTGCCCATCGAAAACCTCAGGAAAACGTGAGGCAAACTGTGAAACAAGTAAGGAACACGGAGCCCCTCCCTAACGACAGGAGTTCCTTCTCCAGCGCCCCGACTGTATAAGCGGAACGCCGTATGGAGCATGAACACGTGTGAGCCCTGTTCCGACGTGGGTGTGGCGGCGCCATGCGGGCGCCCCCGCTGGGTCTAGAAGTAGAGCCTGTTCTGGGTTATGGGGCACGCAACGTGTGAGGGGTGTGCCGAAGTGAGCGAGGGGATGCCGTGTGAGCCCCACGTGGGCCACAAGTGCTTCCCATGGGGCACGACACGTGTGAGGGGTGTGCCGAAATCGGGGCGGGGCGCCATGCAGCCGCACCCGCTGGGGCCATTGGTGGTGCTTTTCATAGGGCGCGGAACTTGTGCTAGGTGTGTCGACATGGGCACTGCGGCCTCATGTGGCCGCAGCCACAAGGGGCTACAAAAGGAGCTCCTGTAGAAGGGGCACGACACGTGTTAGTGGTGCGCCGAAGGAGGCGCGGCGGCGCTATGCGGACGCATCAGCTGGGTCCACAAACGTTAGTCCGTGTGAGGCACCAGCCGTGCGAGTGGTGCAGCGGGATGGAAAGGCAGGAGAACCCAGAGTCGAATCGATAAGTCGGATCGGCGATCGAAATGAGTCGGATCGGCGAAAATCGGAAGCCAAGTCGGGAAACATCGAATCGACGGAAATCGGTAGGCTAGTAGGCCTACATTAAGAAATCGGACCCAAATCGGAATGCGGAGTCGAATCGAATCGGAATCGGAAGCCACCGAAATCGAATCGAATCGAAACGGAGGAATCGAAATGAGCCCTGGAAAGGAGACGCGTGGTGCAGAGGAGAGAACACGCGAGAGCCCGACCTCATGAGACGCTTGCAGATCCGCCTTCGGACGTGCCGCGAGGGTCGCCCCGCGCCGACCCAACTCATCTGCGCGGACCTCCGACATCTTTGGGCGCCCGAATTATCCAGGGTACACCTTGCGAAATGCTTTAGAAATCATGGGTTAAGAAATTCATAGTCTCAGAACTCGAATAAAAACCCAAAAGTTCCATTCAAATCTTAGGATTTACATTGAAACGTTAAGAATAATCGAGACTCTGGCCGAAAATTTAAGTTTTCTTAAGCATCGCCTAAGGTGTAACTCGGGTCCGGGGTAACTCGGGTTTGGATTCCCGGAAAAGGAACCCGAGTTCGCCCTGACCCGAATTACCCCTGATGATGTGGGGCTCTGGGCGCCCGAGTTATCCGGGGCAGCTCGGGTCCGGGGCAAGTCGGGCTCGGATGCCCGAAGCACGAAGCCGAGTTAGCCCTGACCCCGAGTTACCCCTGATGATTCGGGGCTCCGACATCTTGTCGTGCTCGTGCATGTTCTTCTCCGAGCGCTGCGGCGGTGTGCCCGCACTGCGTATACGCGTGCCGTGCCGGCGCCAGCCCGCTCCCGGGCCGCCTCTCCGGGCATGCGCTCCTCCCGGGCCGACGGAGAGCCCGGTGCGGCGGGCGCTCTCCAGCGGGCGCCCTGGGTGGCCCACGGTCGGGCCGGGCGAAGGGGGGGGGATAGCAAAGGGGGGGTTTGAGAATCAGCTCACGTATAGCTGATTTTGCCGGCGCCTCCCGGCGCCGGGAGTATCGAGGAATGGGCCCGGCGGCGGGGCCGAAACCAGCTGCATGCAGCAGATTTCGTACCCCCCCCTTTCCCACCCCCCCCCTTTCGCCCGACCCGACACGGGCGCTCGCGAGAGGGGGGGAACAGAAGAGAGACGGGGTGCGAAGGACTGGTGCTCAGCGATCCGCCTGCCTCGAATCGGTGCGCTGGCCGGGCTGCGCTGCTGGCGGGCAGCCCGCGGGAGGAGCGGCGAGCGGGGAACGAGTGGCTTCCTGGCCACGGTGAGGCTCGGCCGCGATCGGGTTCCCCCGACCTGTAGATCTGAGCAGCAGCCCGAAGACCGGCGCCCCTCCCGCGTCATACATGGCTCCCGTTTCAACGCCTCGACTGAGTGGGGGCCGCCCAGGCACGTTCCGAATAGGTGGGGTCGGAGAATCGCGCCGCATCGCCGCTGCATCGGCGACGTCGGGGTGGAGAGAGTCTGGCTCTGGATCGAGCGCCAGCGCCGATGCATCGGCATCCTCCGACCCCATCTGCTCGCATTCCATTTGGGCAGCGCGGAGGGTAGCAGACGCCTGGACTTCATTTACACCAGAGGAAAACCCGAATTATTGGATGGTTTTCGCTGAGGAGATCGACCGGGAACCCGGGAGCCCACGAACCCAGAACCCACCGAAAGCGGCCCAGAATCAATAACTGGGAACCCGGGAACCCGGAACCGGGAACCCGGGAACCCAGCCTGCTACCAAAATCGGCGGGGAACTTTCGCCAAATCTGTCAACTTTTCACTTCCGCCAGGACCCCTTCAGTGCATGCACTGATTGGGGAACGGTCGCCTTCAAGATGACCGCGCCTGCATGGTTGGCCCCACCCAAGAACATGTTGGCGCTGTGAGGGGAGGGTAACAGGGGATATGTCGACCCCTATCCCAGGCTTCGTGGGGTTTCCGAATGGACCAGAAATTTGGGGCCTAACCCTGGGATATACGATGGGGGGGTGTCCATTCTCGATAGGGTGCGTCCGAATAGCCCCCTTGGGGTGTATCCCAGGGTTTTCCCATTCTTCTGAGCGGCCAGACTTTTCGGGCGAAACTCGGGGATTGGGGGAGAAACATCGCCCGCGAGAGGGGAGGTCACAGGTCCCGTACGAACACCAACCGCACCCTCACTACAAAATTGCGGTTCCCCAGTCGGCCCTTGCACTGAAGGGGTCCTAGCGGAAGTGAAAAGTTGAAAGACTTGTAGAGGAAAAAGAACTATGCACATACACCGATTCTGGCCAGACCCATCCTGAGCCCAGGATCGGTGCATATGCCCTCCTACCTTGGCCAGGAAGGCATATGCACCGATCCTGGGTCAAGGATAGACGTTGTCAGGATCGGTGCATGTGCATATTTCTCTTCGCCCGAACTTGGCGTCAATTCCCCGCCGATTTTGGTAGCAAGCTGGGATCCAAAATTCCCGGCCGGTTCCGGGTTCCCGGGTTCCCGGTTATGGGCTCCGGGCCGATTTCGGTGGGTTCTGGGTTCCCGGGCTCCCGGGTTCCCGGTCATTCTCCTCAGCGAAAAACATCCACTGTTTGGGTTTTCTCAAGTGTAATCTTGAAGGCGTCTGTCTTTGTCAATGTGCTTGGCACGGGGAAAACAGAGCCGACATCGCCAGCGGAAACCAATAACGTGTCTGGGTGCGCAACGACATGGTAGTCATGTGCGCCGTTCCGACTCACATCCGATGTGCTTTAAGATATCACAGTCCCATCGTGGACGGGATGGCAACGGTGACGACGATGAGCTTGCGACAAACGACAACAGGGGCCGATAGAGATATTTCACTTGATGATTCAGATTTTCGGGTCAAGTGGGCCGAATGAGCCAGGAGGCGCGGATAACAGTTTGCCACACTCCTCTTTCTCCCTTTTCTATTGCTCCTCCTCTTCCCCCTCCTCCTCCTCCTCCTCCTCCTGCTCCTCCAAATGCACGGGGCACAATGCCACGCTCTCGCTCTATCCGGCCTAGCCGCTACGCTGAAGGCTCACCACTCTGGTGCCTTGACGGACTTGCGCGGGTCGCAATCCTCGAAGAAAGGGTCGTGCGAATGGTCGTAGCCAGGGAACCCATCGGGCCAGTACTTCCACTTCTCCTCCGAGAGCCAGCGCATGTCGCGACCCCAATACGCCTTCATCGTCCAAGCATGGGCTGGAATAGGAACGTAAGGGTCGTCCTTCTCGTCCTGGACGTACCACATCCACACGGGGTCACGCTTGAAGCGGCCATCTCCTCGGAAATTGGGATGGTTGAAATACACGAAGGAGCCACCCTCCTTCCAGTGCGCGGTGAAGCCCGGCACGTGACCTGTCGGGTTCGCCCAGTGGGGCACGCGCAGTGCACACGCGCATACCACCTGGAGCAATTCTGTATCCACGACCCCGTCCCGCCCGACGGACTTGGGGCCCGCACACTCAGGATGCCGTGCCAAGAAACTAGCTATTCAACTGCCTTCGCACAGTGGTTTTTTTTGCAGACTCCGGCAAGAAATCCATGAACCACGAACCACAAGTCTTCAGGTGTCGGCGTGCCCAGGGCAGCCTTCGGCCAGGAGTAACACGATGCCGAGAGAGCAGGAAAGGGCTGCAGATTCTCGCGCTCACACGCCTGTGCCGCATGTGGTTATGGCTATACGGCGCCATTGAATCCCCGTTGAGAGGAGGAGGATGAGGAGGAGGAGGAGGAGGAGAAGACTCCAAGTAAACGTTTCTGCTCCATGTATTGCCTTCGCGCGTGCTGTCGAGCAGAGCTGTAGCGAAAATATGTTTGACGATCGTGAATCATCGGGTGCGGTGGGGCAATCGCCAGACAAGAAGAAAGGCAAACAAACGTTGGAGGTGGAGGAGGTGCCCGGTATGTCACCGTGGGCGATCGCTATGCAGAGGAACCTCATGCAACACACCACGCACCAGATTGAGAATGTCACGGCTCAGATCAACGGAGCGAAAACAGTGGCCATCAAGGCGGATGCCGAGGTCCGCAAGCTGGGAAAGGAGGTCCGGGACATGAGACCAGCCTTGAAGAAATCTGACGTGCTGTAGGCCAAATTCAAGGCTTTCAAGTAGCAATCGAAGCCGCAGCGGCCGCCACGGGCTGCGACATCGATTGCAGATGAGGCCACTCGGTGGAAGGATGGGGAGGCGGAGGAGAAGTGCAGCAGGACCGTCGGCCTCGGACAGTTTCCGAAGGACACGAAGGCGGCAGACATCGTGAAGTACTTGGACGGGGTGCTGGAGGAGGCTAAGGACATAGAGAAGGTTTTGGCTTGCAGTAAGAAGTTCGCGGAGCGGGGGCCTGCGCGCTTCAAGTCGTAGGAGGCGATGCGGGGCTACTTGACGAACAGCTCGGGCAACCATACGAACACGTACAACGGCCAGAGGATCTACTGCAACGCGGACTCGAGGAGGCTGGATCCAGGTTCGGAGGATGGGAGGCGGGAGAGGGCAATCAGGAAGCTAGAGAGGGACATCTTTGGGGCCAACGGGGGGAACGGGAACGTAACCAAGCAGCACATCGACGCGGACTATTGGAAGGGCGTCGTCTGTTGGAGGGAGCAGAGACTGGGGGAGTGGAAGAACGGAATAGGTTCGATCAGCTGTGCACCGAGGAGTAGGGGTCAAGGGGGAGTGGCGGGGGAGGTCGCGGCAAATACGTGGCCGTGAGCGGAGGTGTTCTGGTCACCATTCTGCGACGACAGGGGGTTGAGAAGTTGGCGCTGGACGCATCAGCTGATTCCCCTGTTCTGAAGCAGGAAAAGCGCGGAGCAGACGCGGAGCGCGGGGGGAATGGTTGTCTTCTCAACTCTACGTTTTACGATGTGGAATAAGTTTTCTGGTTGGTCAATATACAGGGCTTGCGCAATTATCTTGCCGAATTGACCGCCACGGTGCGGATCAACGACAAGAAACCACACATTACTCGTATCACGGAATCTATTTTAGATCAGGCTATCGCTTGCGTTGATCTTGAGGACTATCTAGAGGTAGCGCGCCGAGACTGGACTGACGGAAGCAGCAGGGGAGATATCATCATGTTCGCAATTCGCGAAATTGCAGCCTAAGTAACGTGCGTGATCAACTGCCGCGGCAAGGCTGTGGTGTGCTTTACATACAGAGCGAGGGCCTCTTTTAATTGGAGCATGGTACAGACCACCTGGCAGTGGAGCTGGCGGCATAACGAATTGTGCTGAAGAACATGCTGCGTTGAGCGCGGGGTTCATGGGAACGGTGTTGCTGCGGGACTTGAATGTGCATCACAAATCACGGTTGCGATTTTCTTCGCACACGTCTCTGAAAGGGAAGAGCTGAGATTAACTACAGCTGGTATGGGATTGCGTTAGGTAGTCCGTGCTCCAACCCGTGGCCCGTAGTTGCTCGATTTGGCGCTCACGGACATTGACGGCCTGAAAACCACAATGCTGCCGAACATTGCCGACCACAACGCCGTTGAATTGGTCTCGTCGCTGCCGGTTCCTCGGGCACATCGTGTTCGGAGGGAAGCGTGGCACTTCCGTGACGCGGACTGGCGCGAACTCAACGTACTATTGGCGAGCGTGGACTGGAGTTTTTTGTCTCGCGTTGACCCAGCAGGCGGCGCTGTCCAGATGACTGAGTGCATTTTAGATTGTGCCAGGCTGTGTATCCAGACGAAATGGATGACCGAAGAAAAATCTACGCATCCATGGTTGAACGATCGGGTGATCAGAGCTGTGGAGGCCAAGCGAAAGGCGTAGGGTACTGCTCTGGAGGCCGAGCTTGCTTTGAAGTGCAGCGACACCATTGTTGAGGAGTGCAACCAATGGTGTGGCGAAATGAGGGACGAACTCACTTCAATGCAGAAGGGATCAGACAACTGGAGGAGAGAACAGCAATCCCAGCACTGAGACAACCCAGTGGAGAGTGGATCAGGGACCCGGCTGGAAAGGCGAACCTCTTGGCTCAAACCTTCAGCGACAAATTTCATTCACCTGATCAAGCATATCACGAGTATTCGCGTACTCGTTCTGTGGAGGCGACGTGGGACACGGACCCGGCGGCGGCACTCAACGCTGAGGGTGCCGAGTCAATCTTGCGTGCTCTCCTGGAGGACAGCGCCACGGGCCCGGATTTGCTGCCGACGAGAATATTGAAGAGGTGGTCTGCCACGCTTGCGCTTCCTGTGAATTTGCTGTGCGACGCGATTCTTTCCTCGGGGGTGTGGCCAGCAAGTTGGGGCATCGATTGGATTGTTGTGTTTGCTGTATATATAGATATAAAAGAAGAAAGCGGTGTTCGATCCCAAGAATCAACGGGGCGTGCATCTCACTGCGCAGCTTACCAAGGTCATCGAGAGATTCCTGCAACCAGTCTTCTGCCCTACGTTCATGTCAGAATCGAGTACTGGCCGTAATCAATTTGCTTACAGTCGCGGCAGGGGCGCCCGGGACGCTTTGGCATTCCTCGTTCTGTCCTGGCTGTCAGCGTTCCGGGAAAAAATGCAAGTGGCATTGCATATGTCCGACGTCTCTGCCGCTTTCGACAAGGTCTTCGTCGACAGGCTGGTTGGTAAGTTGGCTGCGAGAGGGGCACCGCTGGAACGTTTGCAGCTTTTCAGGTTGTGGCTTGGCGCCCGGAGAGCCCAAGTTGTGGTGGAAGGCTGCAAATCGATCAAGCTTCTGCTGGACAACATGGTGTTCCAAAGCACGTCTGGGGACCGATGTTGCGGAATATATTTTACGATGACTCTGCAAAACCGATCAGAAAATTAGAATTTTCTGAAATTGATTTTGCTGATGACCTGAACGCGTTCCGTGTGTACGGGGGCGCAGCCAGCCAGACCGCAATTCTCGGCGACATGGACGCCTGCCAATATGAGCTCCATCAGTGGGGCAAGGCGAACCAAGTTTTTTTTTGCTCCCAGCAAGGAATACAGTCACATTATATCCAAATCTCTTCCATACGGGGAAGCATTTGATTGATTGAGTGTGCACTTTGATACGAAGCTCAACATGACCGACTATGTGTTCCAATTAGCAAAAGATTGCCGGTGGAAGCTGAAAACGATTTTGAGGACTCGGAAATGCAATACTGTAGCGCAATTGGTCCTGCTGTACAAAGCGCAGGCTCTGCCCTTCATCAAGTACCAGTCTGCTGCAATCCATCACGCCTGCAAGCCAGCACTGGAGGCCTTGTACCACGTCCAAGACAAGCTGACCGAGGCCGCCGTGATCAGCAACACGGAGGCATTCTTGGAGTTCAAGCTTTCGCCAGTGTCTTTCTTCAAGACGGGACATGACGATGCTCGGCCTGATTCGCCGATCTGTCCTGGGGAAGGGTACGGGGCATTCCACGCAATTCTTCAGGCTCGACTCGCAAACGGGGGCTAAACAGCCCGGGATACATCGTTTGCAGCTTATCGAATATTTCAGCGATTTTGCTTTTCCCAAGTCGCGTCCTGGTGACATCACACATTCGACGCTTGGGCTGGTTTCGATCTACAAAAAATGCCGCCAGAAATCGTGGAGTCTTCGTTCAACGTGTCAGAGCTTCAGAGGGCGTTGCAACGTCTCAGCACTGACGCCGCGCAGACGACGACGACTGGGAGAAGGCTTTCAGCCCGCGTGTGCCATGGCACCAGCACCCGCTCAGTATATATGTATAGGTGTGTATGTTTTATACATTTGTATATACATATATACATATGTGCGCAGCCCCCCCCCAGCACCCATTCATGTTGCATCGGTCTTTGGGCTCTCCATTCGTACCCTTACTGTTTTTTGGCCTTCTTGTCATCCGCGCGCGCTCATCCATCTTTCCCGTTCGTCATTTCTCCGCTGCTTTCACGTGCTGGGATCTACTTGGAATCAGCTGGACTTGGGATCCGATCGATCCCATTTAGATTGCAATTTAACTTTCATTTGAATGCGCTTGGGATCAACTGAATCTGGGATCGGCTCCGTTGCCCAGTTCCGACTAGACTTAAAATATACTCCAATAGGGATCCAATAGGGATCAGCTGGTCTGTTGTGATCTGTCCAATTCGAATTAAGTCTCATTCGATCCAAGCAAGAAAACAACTGGAACCAGCTGTATCTGGGATCTGCTCCATTCCGCTGAGCTTCTAATTCGATTCCAATAGGAATCGGATCGGAACCAGCTAGCTGGGCCTAGGATCTGCACAATCCAATTCGATTCAACTATCATATCAATAGTGCGACCCACAAGTCGCCCCATGTCGGCCCCGCAGCCCTTGGATGCCAGATGATCGCCAAACCATGCGATGTCATGTGGGTTCCTCTGATTTCTGGGATGCGAATCAACGAAACCCTG